GCTGTGCTTCAGTTCAGTTGCGTATTGCTAATAGCGCGCCAAGTTGCAGCCGAAATGTTGCTCTCGAAATCGACAGTTAACAGTTATGCCGATGCCACCGCGTCCGGTCCAATAACTTTACTAATTCTTGTGCTAACAAACTTAATTGCTGCCGACAACTTGCCGAGCTGTCGACAACACCACCAGTGCAAAAGTTTAGTTCTGACAAATAGGGTGTCTGTTTACACAGTTCATAATTGTTATTTACATCTTTGAGGTTAGTTGTGGCATAGCGAAAAGAGCTTGGTTTGCTTCGGATATCGCGAGCAACCAATTAATTCAACAAATACGACAAATACCTAGCAGACATTAAGTATAGAGTTTAAGGCGGCTCTGGGCTACCTAGAGTGAGACTTAGGAAAGGTTTAGCTGGCTACAGCTGCTTTACACCGAACGAATATCCGGCTCGGGTCAGGTTCTGAACTTTCTTTTCAATTTTCTAAATAAGTAGATGAGGTTGTCATATGAATAAAAGTGCCATATTAAAAGTATATACGAGGTCTAAATTTGCACATACTAGTCGTTTTTTCATGGCGCCTAACATACAGTACAAAATAAAAAGTGCGCGCCGTCAGTAGTTGTTTGGTCATTTGTGATATTTTCAAAGCGAATTTGATTTATCTCTGACGACAAGCGTTTCATCAATTAAAATCATGCGTCAAATGCATGAATGCGCTGAATTAGCATAAAACAAGTTGCTAAATGAAAAAACTAAGCGTCCAAATGTGCGTCAGTAAAAGTGTGAACGTGTGTGACTAATCAAGAGCAGCAGCCACAGAGCGTCATAAATCATAGTAAACTGTCATTGTTGACAAACAGCCGGCTGTTTGTGTGTGTATGTGTGTGACGTAGACGCAAACCTTATATATGTGCATGAATAATCGTTTGCACGGACAGCCTTGCATTGACGCCGCGCGCCTACGCCCAGCAATTCGCCACAAAATTGATTTAATAGTGACCATAAAGCACAACAAAATTACAATTGCGACAACAAGCGCGTTCAACCGCTTACACTGACACAAACACATACATATTTAAGCATTTGTGGCAAGCTGTGGTCAGCTGTTATTATTACCGCCTCTTATTTTATTATGCCCGTGGCTACTTACCATTCTGCGGCTGCGTGTAATTGGCGAAGAGCGCCGCGCAGTCCTCGAAGCTGCGTATGGCGACCTGATGTGGCAGGTAGGTGACATTGGGCGAGGTGGTCAAAACGATGCTGCTAGGCGCCGCGCTCGCGCCACTCCCGCTCGTCGACAGCGTTCGCGACAGTGTCGAGTTCAGCAGTTCGGTGGCATAGGTCGCGGCGGAGGCTGATATGGACGCGGTTGCATTCGCCAACACCGTTGCTGCGCGCGTTGCATTCGCGGACGCGCTGAGTGGCGCTTGCAGCAATGTTTTGGCGGTGGCGAGCAGCGTAGCGCTCACACTTTGAGACGTCGTCGGCAAATCATTGCTGCCAATTTGTGGCTCAGCGGCATTGCTGATGAGACTGTGCAATCTTGCTGTTGTTGTGCTGTCGCTGACGCTCTTACTGGCAGCTGCCGCTGTTGTTGTCGTTGTGGTGGCGGCGGCCGCATAGCCTTGCGGTTCGGTGATATTTTGAAAGTATGTGTACAAAACGCGCGTCACATTTGAACCTACTGTAGTGATGGTGGCGCTCAAATTGCTCGCTATGCTTGTGTTACGGTTGTCGTCAGCGTTGATGTGGTTGTTGTTGTCGTCGATTAAAGCGCTCAATAATTTATTGTTTGCGCTGTGACTATCGAAATTTGCCTCGTGCGCGCTTCCGGCCATCTCCGCTATCGCGCTGTATGGGGTTAATAGGGGCGAGCTGTGCGGAAGCAAAGGTTGTAAACTGCCGCTCGTCACTGCTGTCAGTTTTGCCATTCAAGCGCTGGTTTACAGTGCATTGATATCCGCTTCCGCTGTTTCGGATATTGTCATTGTCAGCTCTCAGTCCCAGTGGCTCATATGCGACTGTCACTCAATACTTTAAATGCACGCTTTTCGTTTTGTTTGTGCTCGTTGGTGGGTTAAACGTTGCATGTAGGTGTGTGTGCGTGTGAGCAGTGGCGCACGTGTGTGGTCGCTTTTTTATTTGTTTTTGTAGCTGTTGCAATATTTATCAATTTCTTTTTCCTTTTGCTTTGCTGGTTACATTCCCTTCGTTGCTTGTTGGAAATGCTCACAGAGCGTTTACTTTGTCGCGCCGTTTATAGCCGCTCTTCCACGCCGCGCTGTTCCGCTTTTCTGCAATTTAAATGTGTAAATATGTGAGGGGAAATTTAATTTAATTTCAGTTAACGAATCTTCTTATTTACACAAAATGCTTTCTGTTTGAAAATAAATCATTTGCAAGTGAATTAAAATCATTTAATTTCAAGAGTTGAAAGATTTGGTAACAATTGGTATATTTTTCATGTGATTAAAGATACCTATCTACTTAGTTACAATAGATTCCTCACATTTCTAGTTTAATTTGATTGCTTTTCAAAAACTACCATTTGTTTAAATAATATAGTATGCTTTCGGGCGTTTTAACTTTTAACATACTTTCGAATTATACTTTTCGAAAAGATGGCTGCATAAAGCTGCTGAAACAGAAACTGGAACGGTCTTCTTCTGTAGTAATCCGTACATAGAAGGCAGCTTCAAACTAAATGACTGCAATACAGTCTTTCAAGCCGAAAATGTGGCCGCAACAGCAGGTGCCAAGATCAAAAAGGCCCTTCTTCCAGGCAAAAGGAAGTTTAGTAACATTGCAGGGGTTATCGAAGGGTACCTACTCTTAAGATTTCACCTTGAGAAAATGTGAAAAAGGGAATCGGCGGAATGCAGGGCATGCACGTAGGATGATGAGACGCTGGAACATTACCTATGTGAATGGACATTCACAATTCAATGGGCAGCCTTCAGCCGGATAAAAAGGGATATATTCCACGGCTCCCAATGTTACAACTTAAGCGACATTGGGCAACTAGGGTGGAGAGGAATCAGGTTTTTTACCGAATCCACGGAGTGGCTGGCTAAAGCTTAAATTGGTTACCTTCCAAGTGCACAATGAGCCTAATCATAGCCTAAGTGCGGCCGTCTACGGTCTGGCGCTCATGCGCTTCACTTTTCAACCAAACAAAGCAGTTGATACCTGTAGTCGCTCTGATTAGTCTGAGGATTGGGAAGAGAGCTGATGCTACTATTGTGGCATTGGCTTAAATTTATGTGACTGATGTGAACTGCGTTACAAAAACCTTACGAACTCGTGGTTCGAGACTGGCTGCAGAAAAATTCAGGCTGGGTTAGTTTGGTCTGAACTGATAAGATAGGGTTCTATACAGAGATCAAGTGGGTCTTTTAAAAAATTACTGCTAAAAAACAAGCGAATTGCATTCAGAACTGAACTGAGATACTGTAGCTGGCTGACGAGACTGCTTCAGGTTTGGAACTCTCATGAAAGCATGGTCATACTTAGATTGTACCACCAGACAGTAGACAACCACCAAATTTCTCGTTCAGCTGCGGAACTCGAGATGATGAAACAAAAAGAGGTAACTACTGGATTTCTTGCAGAAATATTACGGAAACCCTTATGTGGAAAGCGGTTAGGTGTACAGTCCACTTGTTGAAAGAAAAACGCAATGAGTTTCGCACACTTTCGTTTGACTTAATAGGTATGCTCACTAAGTGAGTTGCGGACAGTAGTTTAATTCAAGGTCAAATACTGGTGAAGGGTGGGGTTCGCCGATCACATTGAGCTACTTTTCCATGTAAATACCATGTGTTATTTGCTCTGCCTTTGATTGCAAATATTCGCATGCTTGCCTCAAGATTTTCATTACAATGGAGGCAGACAGCGATTTCTTGGAAGTTCTGCGAAGCACTGCTGCAAATTTGCCTTCAACACACGCAAGAGCATGCTAAGGAGTGAAAAGTCACAGACACCTACACACGAACATGCAATATGCTTACATAACGGTAAGCACACTCGAACGCTTTTCCACACATTTGAGTATATATGCAACAATACACCCTACTCAACGTATCCAACTAAGCAAGAGTGTTTGTGTGTGTGTGTTCGTCTGTGGTGTTGGTGCATCCGGTTTGTTGCGCAATAAATAACTTTTCAACGCACATTTACTATTCAACATGAGAATTTGTTTGCTTGTTGTGAGCGTTTAATGATTAAATACAATCAAGCCAACAACAATAACAAAAACACATTATTCAACAAACACGCCAAACTGTTCGCCTGGGCTATTGCAGCCGAACGCTGGCGAAGCGGCATACCAAATCAATTTGTTGCACGACCAACACCAATGAGAAATGACCGCATTTGTATATATGTGTGTGTGTGTGTATGGGTGTGCCTGTTTATTCGCTGGAGAGTTCCGACGCTGCAGCAGCCAGCAAACAAAAGCGAATTTGCGGTAAAAGTTTCAATTTCAATAAGTTGCACGTCTATTTTTCATGTTGGCCACAATGCAACAAATGCTGTATGAAAACAACAGCAACAACAACAACAATAGCTATGTAACATTAAGCTTCGTCGCTGGCTAGCCAACACTCGTCGGTTAACTTGGCAATGGAGCGCCTTGACATTGAATGGTTTAGCTACCACACACACACACACACAAACACGCTCACAAATAGCGATTGAAAGCGAAGAGATTGAGCAAGCATGCAGCTAGACGACAAGCAACGTGCCACAATGGAAGGTGAAAGCACATGTAACTGCCCTTCAGTGGTGGCAACATAAGCAGCACTTGTGGCAGCAACAAGGCGAAAGGATAATGCTGCTGTCAGAAGACATTATTAACCGCTATCGAGAGCACTCACACGATTTACAAGTTGCCGAGCGCTGTGCGTGCGTGTGTGGCACGCATTGGTTGCGTCTTCAACGTCAAGGACGCAAATTGGCGCTTGAATGTGGAGAATGGCAACAACAACGTGACGACGGCGTTGCAGGCGTGTGTGTTGCGTACAAAGTAAACGAGTTGCTGCTAATGTGCTATTGAGTGGCATTAAGGCTTGTATGTTGCATGTAGTATGATTGTTGTAGCAACTTGCAACAAGCAGTGGCATGCACGAGCACACACAGTAATAATGTGCTGCATGCAGCAGCGTAACAAATAGCAAATAACAAAAGCGAAAGACAAATTAGCAAAGCGTTGGCATGTTGCCCGTGTTGCAAGTAAGCGCAAATTAATTGCATACTTACGACATAAAGAGACGCGGCAACTCAACGTTACTTACGAGCACACTCAAGAACGTCGCGGAGTCTTTCCAAGTGTTGAAGAACCTAATAGCTGCCCTGAATCTACTCTTACCCAACGAGTAACCACTGAAAATAGGCTACAATCTATAGGTTTATAAGTAGTGAGACTAAGAATTAATCCACTTAGACTGCTATAGGACGCTTTGCCCTTGTGTGCCCAGAACTGGCTAGTACGGATCCCGTCAGATATCGACAAAATGCCTAGAGCCTGCTGCACATTATGTATTGAGCGACTAATATATCTATTCCAGGCCAACCCAGCCGGGTTCAAAAAACAGTATGGCAAACCGGAGATCCGAGATAGCTTCAACCTATTCTGTTAAAAGCTAGACTTTGCAACGGAAGAAGCATTAGATGTTTCTACCCACCTTCTCTCTGTTACTTGACAGCTTTGCAGTTGACCCAACATCATTTAACTTAACGCTGGAGTTGAAAATGGCACAGTGATCGAGTGTGCATTGCGGCAGTGAGCCTGCATTCCTCTTGCAAGCTCATCCGGCTTTACAATTTCCGACGATACCGCTGTGGTCATACACTCTTGACTAGCTTAAAGCTAACTGTCAACGATTTTTAAGAGCTTGTATAGCTGTGTATCGGATTAGATGCATGCCCCCTAAAAGAAGCCGCATCGTAGAAATTACAACTGCGAATATTTAATGCGCCAGCGCTTAATGGCAAGCGTTAGGTGAAACAGCTCTGACTGTGCTGCTGGTCGATGTTGTCAATTCGTGCAAGCTGTTGCAAGTAGAAGCATTTATGCGCTGCAACATCTAAACAGTAGATGGCCATAAAATAATTGCAATTCTTTGTGCAGAATTTGTCTAAATTTGCCATTAAAGCATTTCGCTTGGTCATGCACAAGCCCACACACTACACACACACCACCATGCTGACCCACACACACGCAATCATTTGCGGTATACTGAGTTTAGATAATTAAATTTTTGCGCACAAACACCAAAATCGAACTTGAATTTAAACGGAGTTAATTGGCAACGGTTAAGTTCTGAACGCTGCCATCGTTATTAGATTGTGGCAAGCTATAATTAAGTCCAATGCGCACCACTCAATGAAATGCAACTAAGTAATAAATCGAACGAAAACTACGTGAGTTTTGGTATTCTTAATCATTTAAAATGTATTAAGCCTCAAAGGCGAATTTCCATTGTGCAACTACACAAAAGTTGCAATTGCGTTTACTCACTAAGCATTTTCTGCTGTAAAGGCCTCACTCCGCTCACTAGTAATGGCTGCGTATGATCGTTTTAAAAATTTTTTCTTTTAAAAGTACAAATTTCGCCTCATACGCACGCATACTGCATACACGGATTGTAATCCACATACCACGTGGCATGTTGCAGCACAACACAAGATTGGGTTCCGACATGGCGCCGACACATGACTTTAAAATCCAGTTTATTTTAATAATAGACGAAAAAGCAGCGAATATATCCAGCAGTCTTAAAATTGTTGTTGGCTGTGCCAGCGTGTGTGGCACTTTAAGCAACTTTTGCGGCATTGCAACTTGGGCAGAACTGCAACACATTGTATTTATACTGGACAGTAGCGGCGGTAGTTGGCTCGACAAAAACACAACAGCGAGCACAACACCAGCAATATACAACAACACTACAATTACACACAACTACACGTAAAAATTACAATAACAAAATAGACAAAAATTGTAAGGAAATGCCAAGAGCACAAAAATCTCAATTAGTTGGTTCAAGCCGACAATCATAACAAAGCAGCGCCAGCAGAGTGAGCGACTTGGGGTTACAAGCGGAAATCAGTGCTGTAAGATGATTAGCGACGTGAATGGATGAGCGCAAAGTACAGTTCGCCTGCAGGCAGACTTAAAGTACAGCGAGAAGTAGAAATCTTGCCGCTATAAGAAACTTGAGGACGTGTGCACAACTTTTGTGGCGCCAAGAACATAGCAACAATAAATAGCTACACTATCTCGAACAGCCA